GGCTCTGAGAAGAGACAGAAAAATCCGAGCGGGGGCCTCATATATATTCCTAAACGCTCGCCGCTATGGAACCTCATCGAAGTTTTTGTGAAGTTTAACCTCTCGATGGAAGGTCAGTGTCGACTTCGGAAACAAACAAGCTTTCTGAGGGCGAAAACCGCCGAGAACTGTACTTCGTAAAACAGTGCGTGTCTGCCTCCTCGCCACTTGTTTCTTTTAATATTTACCCTTTCGGTCTCCCGTGTATTGATCCGCTACTTGTTGAAAGAAAGATACGTCTGCACCGTATGCTGTCAATTGAGCGGCTTCCATATCTTACAGAGAATTGTAAGTTTGTGATTTACAAGAACTGAATGCTTAATGTGCATGGAGATGATCACGTACTGTTACTCTGGTATTAAAAATAAAGTCGCTAAACGCCTAACTTTGTCGTTGTTGTCAACTTCCAAAACACGGAACGTTTACCCTTAAAATACGTTGCTACTATTTTTGATTAGTTTGTTTCGTTCATTTTCCTCATTTCTCATCGGAGCATCATTTGGCCTTGAGTGAGCATGTTTCTAAAGCGGCGTCAGGTGTACACAGCAGGCAAATTTCGTAGGACAAATTCTTCTTAGCATAGATTCCCTCTCAGTAAAGTTCACTTGGTGAGGTGAGCGCCCAGTTGCACCGAGCTCATTTCCACGCCCCCTATGTTTCCCCGTGGGGTTAGGACAGGGCCATTTCCGCGGCAATCTTGAGCTGACGGAACAATCCCTGGGCGAAACCGGTGCTTCTTGGCCGTCTTCGAGTCTCGCTCCATACAGTATAGACGTCGTATGCGTCTCGGAAACTGCCTCCGCGGCGTCTCTAGAATTCCGTTCTCTCAACCCCAGCCCTTTCAGAACAATACGCGGTCTTGGTGGGCACTCGAGAGGGAGAGAGAGAGAAAAAGAACGCACAGCTACTGCGTTCGCGAAGTAAAGCTGGGGACGTAACGCGCGCGGAGCACGGGGTTCCCCGCTCGGAGCGCCATCTTTAAGACCACCAGACACGACTTGAACTGGTTGCGACGGCGCAGGGACGCTCCTTATTTATACGCCAGGCGGATGCCGCCGAGCGCCCGACTCCGTCTGCTGGCACGGCGCTTATCGGCCGCCTAACGGAAACATTTCTGAGCCTGATCGAAATCGACGTTCGGTACTCGCGTACGTGCGGTCCTGGTATAGGCTTCAGCAACATCCTTTCTAGCGAGGTACACTTTACGATTCCGACGTGACCGGGCTTGCCTTAGATTCTGCGCGCGGTTCGTTTCGAAATAGCTTCGGGGCGAGAGACTGCGCCCGTACGATTAGGCTGGTTCGAATATCAAGCAGCAGCGGGCTCGCCGAACGTCATTCTCCTCCCGTGCTGTACGGAAATGTGAGAACAAAAAGTACAAAGAACAATGGACTCTTTTTTTTTTTTTCGTTAGTAAGAGTTTAGCGCACGGGCCTCGCATGTTTGCAGGACAAAGCCGATAGTCTAGGGATATAATTCAGATCTCCAGTATTTTCCTATTTCCGCGAATACACACAGTGTCTGTTAGCGGCCCAGACAAAACTTCCCGCTCTATTTAAACTTTGGTTACCAAAAGGTTCGAAAACTATTTATCCGGCTCAGCTTACTTCAGCGCCCTATGGCCCTCGTCCCACCATGCACCAACAGACCGCAAAGACTGGTCACAGTCGTCTCGAATGCACCTTGGAAGCAAGTAATTTTACACTTGAGCGTCAACCAGTCATCACACTATAACACGGGAGTAAAAAGGATGATCTGCGAACGCCAAATATTTAGTTATGTTCTGTGAATAAAGGTAGGTATTTAACGCTGTGGGGTGAACTTAGCTGAACGGGTCAAGAAGGTTGGGTTCTTTTAGCCTTGAAGCCTTGTTCAACTGACCAGAGGATTTTCTTAAATTTTCTAATTAATACGTACAATAGATCGAACTCACCAAGCGTTCGGCGCATGCGTGACGCCGCCATAACTTTACTTCACAGGAGGCAGGCGCCGCGGCAGTGCACATGCCGTCACGTGCTCTGCTCACGCAGACCTTCACCGAGGCTGTCGCACGCGGAGAAAGACTAAAGTTCCGTCCATGCACTGTAGCAGCAGTGGCGTAGTCAAACTGGCTGGTGAGATTGGTATATTGATCGCATTCACTGACCGTCATAGTTGTGTCCGCTGCCGAGGAATGTGTGCTGGCTACAACTACACATCCTGCAACATGCTTTTCGCGCCATAAACACTGTCAACTTTGGTAAACGCTGAGCAACCTTTTTTTATGAGAAGGAGGTGATCAACAACAAGCCCCCCGCGTCTGCAAGCCTGCATGGGGAGATATCTCCGGCCAGATTACTATCGCGTGTGCTTGCCCGCTCGAGTAGGACATGGAAAAAGACGAAACGTCTTGTTGTTTAATGGTTCGCGGCACTATGTACTAGCCGCATCGAACGCTGGTCGGAGCGGTCAAAAAATTGCCTTGATCATTCTGATAAACCAGGGGAGCACAAAATGTGTCGTGCGTGTATTAGGCGTGGGTAATGGTTTTCTCTGCTTGGTTGTGGGAAACGTTTGGTGGTTTCGGATGTGCTGCACACACGACAAACTCTCGTGATCTCCGGGTTCATCACCATGATCGAGACAAGCTTAAATGTATTCAGGAGGGGAGTGTGTCACGATCATGGTGTTAATGAGAAGCTTCCCATTAATTTTTTGTGCTCTTGGATTGGGAAGAGCCCATTGTGGTAACTAAAATAATCACGAGGGGAGGAGGTTCACCGTGTGCTTTAGACTATCAATTGACTGCTATCAGTAGTTGTGACGTCATACTCCCGCAGCGCTATCCCTTCACTCTAAGAAATTCCTGCGCGCCTAATTACCCACAAAACACTCAAAGAGCCAGTCTCTGCGATCTACAAAATCAGCTCAGCGAATGAGGAGGCGGAACATCTGTTTAAACCTCAAAAATAAGTCTGAGGCGTGCACTACTCGGAGATGTGAGGGTGAGATAATTTAACGGGTTGTGATCAGTGACCACATTAACTTTACTCCCAAGTAGCCAGGTTTCGAGCTTGGACAGTGCCCACACAATGGCAAACGCATCTCGTTCGATTGTTGCCCAGCGGGTCTCTGTCGGGGTCAACTTTATGCTCAGAAAGCTATGAGTCGTGTCCTCCCCTCCTTGTCCACTTGAAAAAGACAGGTGCCAACCACAAAGTTCGACACGTCTGTCGTCAGCAAAAACTCCGTTGCCACATCTGGCGCGGCCAGCTGGGGTGCCCCGAGGAGTTTTTCTTGAACGGCGTTGAATGCAGCATCAGCACTAACGTCCCATGGAATTTGGTTTGCCACTCCTTTTGCTTTCAGTTTTGTCAGCGGAAGCACCAGCTCTGCAAAGCGAGCTACGTTGTAGCGGTAATAGTTGAAGAGCCCCAACACGCTTCTTAATTCCTTCTTCGTTTTGGGTCGCTGTATATCCTGCATTACCCGTGTGCGCTCGGGGTCTGGGGAATAAGAGTCTCCTCCAATTACATAACCAAGATATTTTGCCTCCTTCTAGCCAAACTGGCATTTCCCCAGGTTAACTGTAAGCCCCGCCTCTCCGATGGTCTGTAGTACCGCTGCGAAGTGGCTCACGTGTTCGTCCCGAGTTTCAGAGAAGGTGCGACATTGTCTACATAGGGGCATACATACGAGGAGTGGGACGGGAGCAAATGGTTCATGACCCTCTGGAATGTAGCAGAAGAGTTCCGTAGCTCAAAGGGTATCACTCTCCACGGATACAAACGAAGAGGGGTCGGAAAGGCAGTACATGACTGTGATTCGAGTTCTACGGGGACCTGCCAGTTACCGCGAGTCATATCAAGAACCGAAATTAAGTTTGCCTTGGATGTCTGCCACAGCAGCTCCGTTGGCGCCTTCATGGGGAACGCGTCAGGTTCGGTCATTGAGTTCAGACATCGGTAAACAACGCTCATTCTCACCGTGCCGTCTTTCTTCATGACGCACACCACCGAGTGACTGAACGGACTCTCGATCGAATAAATTAGGCCCCAGCTGGTCTACCTATTTGTACACCTCTGCTCTGGGTTTCGTCAGAATCTTGTGCGCCCACAAGAAATAAAAAAATAAGAAAAGAAAAGAAAAAAAGAAAAAGGATTTTTTTCCTTTTTGCTTTTCCTTTTTTATTTCTTGTTTGTTATTATTCTTTGTTTTATTTTATTTAACAAATTTTTTAACTTTTTTATTTTTGCTTTATGATATTTAGTATATAATTACAAAAAGCATCCTTCTGTTCCCTATCTGATTTTTTTATCTTCCTTCTTGTTTTTCCATCTCCTTTTCCTGTCTTTGAAATGCCTCACTTTTCGTCTTCTTTTCTCTTGTAAATAAAACGCCAGTTGTCAGTAGCGCCCTTTCCTGTCTCTCGTCCTTCCCTCCGTCGTCCTTGCGCTATTTTTTAATTATGCAGTAACAACACCCAGCAAGTGTCATACCTTCGCCCAAACATAAATCAGTTTGCGAATTCTTTTTTTATTAAAACAGCAAAAGATTGAAACGATCTTCCTGAAAACATAGTAGAGCTTAGGAACTTGGATGAATTCAAAGAAGCTCTTATAGCGCTGGATCACTCATAGTTTCATAATTGTGAATTTCATGCCTGCAATTCTGTTCTCTCTTCTGTCCTTCTTAATATAGATGTTCTCTTTTTATATTCTTTTTTTATTCTGTCCACCTCAATTTTTTTGTTCTGTCCACCACACAGCAATTTTGCTGTGTAACGCCCACCTCTCATGTAATACACCCTCTTTCGGGGGCCTTTGAGGAAAACAAAATAAATAAATAAATGAATTTGCTGGTTCACCATTGCATTCTCACGTGGCAGATCGTCGGCCTCCTTCATCCCTCCTCTAAGATGCAGGAGATATGATTCAGCGGAGGTGTTAAGTCCCACTGGGGCAACCCATTCTCCAGTCGTAATGCCGGCTCAGCAAGGTAAGTGGACCGCGTGGAGTTCTGCCGAACAACATCTCAAAGGATGACACACCTGTTGTCCCATTGGGCACTTCAATATAGGCCCAAAGAAAACATGGAATGTACATCTCCCATTGTCTCCTGTGATCTTGAATCATGTAGCGTAATATGGCCTTTAATGTCCCATTCCGCTTTTCAATCAGATTATTGCTTTGAGGGTGATCTGAAGTTGAGAACCTCAATTCCACCCCCATTCGCTGTGCCAGCAATCACATCAATTTGGCCACAAAGTTTGTCACTTGATCTGAGCAGATCAGTAGCGGCGTTCCGAATCTGCCGAACTCACTTATCAAAGCGTCATACGTAGCCTCGGCTGTTAGAAATCTCAAACACACCACATCCATCCACCACGTGCACATATCGACTATACACAGCGCGTACCGTTGACCTCGAACTGAGGGAGGATAAGGTGGCCCCCTTACAATAGACGAAGATTGTTTGAAATGGTATCTCAGGTCGGCGAAAGTGGTGTGATTGGCGCTCTATGTTTGCTCTCGACGGCACCTAACATCCGTGACAAGACTGGCAGTGCCTCTTGACATCTTGTGTCATTGTCGGCCAGAAGAACGCGCTTCTAATTCTTTGTATGGTCTTCTGTGAAAAATGACCACCACAAGGTGAATCACGCGCCAACTCAAGCACATTTTTATGTCTGGAAGCCGGTAACACCACTTGCTCACATAGACGGCCATTAATGCCGCCCCGGTGATAGAGTAGCCCCCCGCGGACAACCATGCCATGCGTCTCGTCCTCCGTTACTTGAGAAGTAACCGTTACTTTTCTGATTACTTCAGATTTTCAGAACGACAATTCTTCTGCCGGTTTGAAAACGGTTATTATGAAGTGTTCAATATTGGATAATAATCACCGAATTATAAACTACTTACCTTTTAATCAAGCAATGTTAATGAACATTTTTCTTGTCGCAGACTTGATTCCAGGTTTCATTGGCAAGAAACTTGCCCAAACAAAGGGCGCCAGTTGAAAGGGGTGGACAAAATAGTGGCGGTTACAAGTAATTTTAGTACTTCCAAAAGTAATCGGATTACCCTCAGCCAGGGCCGTAACCAGGGGGGGGGGGGGGGGGGGGTTAGGGGGTTCTGACCCCCCCCCCCCCCCCGAAATTTTTTTCTGGGTACAGCCCTGGTCGGTGCACTGGCAGCCAGCCTATGTTAATCTCCACCTCTGCGCACGCGCAGTGGCGCCGGTCGGCTACCGGGTACCAAACCGGGACCGGTTCTCCGGTTTGCTGTAACTCTCCATTATATGCCACCGATGCACATGATTCATAGGCGAAAATAAGACAATAGACACTTTCAAAATGGCCGCCATTGTCCCCGAAACCCCCCCCCCCCCCCCCCCCCCCCCCCCGAAATTTTTTTCTGGGTACGGCCCTGCCCTCACCTCCTAATAAATGTACAAATGATTCCAAAATTACTCCAGAAACTAATCGATTGCAAGTAATTCCATCACTTGTAATGAGTCTGGCTAGACGGCTGCAGAGTGGAGTTGGCTGAAATCGTCGTACCGCAGCAAACATGTGGGATTAAAGGTCGCAGTATTTGCACAGACATACACACAGCGTGAAGTTTTATGGAATGTTGCGACGCTGAATACCGGAAAGTTGCAACGCTCCAGATTGACCTGGAAAAGGCATTTGATCGCGTGTGTCATGATGCTCTATTTTGTGTTTTCGAGTACATAGGGGTTGGAAATGTTATTTTTGAAGGGGTAAAAATGGCTTATTTATACAGTAAAATCAAATACCGTGGAAGCCAATACTGGCAACTCCCGCGGAAAACGGGCGAAAAGTGATTGCAGCGCCCCTGGCGAGCTCGGAGTCTCCGCTGGCAGACAAATTCTCCGAAATGCATTGGTTTTGCCTATCTCCGTGCGAGGTGACCAACGAAAAAAAATTGTCACGGACATTCGCTGCTTTGAAAGTTAAAAAATGGGTGCCAGCTCATGAGTGAAAGACATTCTCTTCCCGTGGAAAAGATGTTACAGCTTTCTGGGTGCAATTTCGGAGTTCTCCCGAAGAAAACATTCTGTCACAACTTATGTAAGCCAAGCAAAGCACGAATGTATGCCTTCGCGCTGTTTAGTGAAAAAGGGAAATGTACAAACATTTCAGAACATAGCTTCGTTTCAACTTTATTGTTCTTATCAGTCAATTCGTTTTGTCGTTGCTATTCCCATTTCTCATGAGTGTCTTGCTTTTAACCGTTTCGTCGAACAAGCGAGCTGGCTAATCCCGTTAAGATCGTCTCCGGATGAAGAAGCAGAAGTCAATTTCGAACCACGTACGTTACGGCGATGTCAGTATGCTCCGAAAGAAGGCGTTGTGCATATGCAAAGCTGACGCGATTATAGATTAACAAAAGCGGAGTTACGAAAAAAAGCAGACTTCTCGCGCTTCCAAAGAAAGAAGAGGAGAGCGTCGTAGCCCCGCGAAAAAAGATGATTTCAGTCACGTTATTTACAGTGCACAAATTCCGATTGTTAGCGCGGGGACTACCAACATCTTCTGCTTCGCTGCTTCTTTACTTCTACGATAAAGGCCGACACCCGTTGAACCGTCTCCACTCTTTTCATTTTTGAGTCTTCTTTCTTTTATATTTTTGAGGCGACGGCACTCTGCCGCGTTATTTCTTCCTTCTGCTTATATGTTGCTGTGTATATTTTTTTTTTGTTTGCTTTTTGCTTTTTTTTTTTTTTTTTGCACGACGTGTAAAAAATCGCGTATCCTTGCTTTGTTTGGCTTAGTTTTTACTCCCTTTCCTTCGCTTCGGCGCTTACTACCACCGCGGTTCGTCTGCGCTAGGCCCGGGCATTTTGAGGGCCGTCTGCAACTTTGCTGTTGTGTTTGTTGTTTTCTTCCACTGTCGTCTCCGATAACCTCTTATTTTCGCCTTCGATTGAGTTTCTAATCCAAAATCGTCATACGTGCTTTTTGATATTTATTAAATATATTAAGAAGTGTAAGCTCGTTACCCATATTTATTCGAATTTTATTTGTGTACTCCGGCCGGCACGTCTGCTACGGGTCATCGTTTGTTGATCAACCGGCCGCATTCAAGAACAAGTTTGTGCGATGTGGTGGAAAATCTTCTGCTTCCTACATCGACCTACGGACATCTACGCCAACAAGTACTTGAATGCACTTTTAAACTGCTTCGTCAAGCGAGCGAACGAACAACCCGCCAAAGTCACTGGAAAAAGAAATTCGAAAGCAAAAAAAAGGTTACTCACTGCTAGCACATATAGAAGATTGCCGCCTGCGACCAAAACATTTCTGCGACTCTTTTTTACCGGGCAGTGTGAGCTGCACTACGTTATTTATTTCCCCTGTTTTGTTTTTAGTTCGTACCTACGCCGCGAAAGCAAATAAAGAAATGTACAACAAGCCGCTGAAAAACAAAAAGGGTCGCTTTCTTCTTTTTTCATTGGTTTCGTCTGTTGCTTCCGCTTTGTTTGTCGTGAACTCAACACCGGTGGCGACCACCAGCTATTCATTTGCTGCTTTCCATTTTTCTTTCTTTTTTTCTATAAGCGCCGCAACGATCGTCGTCGTTAAAAGAGTTTTTTGCTAGCTTCTTTGTTTTATTTGCCGTTGTTCGCTTCTCTTTCCCGTTTCTTCTTATTTTCGTCGGGAATGGCGACACCATTTTTTCTGCAAAGTTCGGTAAGTGTTTGCACGTTCATTTTTATCCTTATTTTTTGTTTTGTTTTTATGCTCCAGCAGCTCGTGCGCTTGCTCTGCTAATATTAACATGCCGTTTTTGCATGTTTTAACGATTACGACGTAGTTCGAGTAGCTAAACGCCTTTTTTTCGCTTCCCAGACGCGTTTCAAACGCGTGTGATCCCCTGAGAGGCGTTTGAGACCGCTAAATAAACTGCTCTATCTTTGTTTATGCGCGCGTTGTTATTCGATTGTCGTTGCAGTTGCGATCAGTGGATTCCACTTTGCAAGCGAACTGACCGTAATAAGTTGTTTCTACTGTTAGGGTGACGATACGGGGCTTGTAAAGCTCGAGGACGTCGCGGAGCCTATACTTTTCCATTGCGACGACTGCTTCCGTAGACTCCGAGTCCGCTAGAGGCGCCACTGTCACGTTCGCCGCCGCTCCTATGTGTTTCCGGAGGAGTTTCCAGTATTGGCGAAGCTATATTGTATTTGGTAAAATGAATATTGTTGTTAACAAAAATGTTAGTACGGAGATAAGCATTCGTTTTTGGTGCAACGATCTCTGTTATTTGTTGCGACTTTTGGCAATCTATCTAGAGCCTCTCTGTCGTTATGTTATTTAATGTAATGAATATCAATGGTTTCACCTTGCACGCGAGCGAAGAGAAAATATTAGCCTACGAGGATGATGTCGTGATTTTTTGTGCTGACTCTCAAAGCGTCTCCAAGGTTGTCAAAGTGACGGAGTTTTCGCAAGGTCACCTGCGTGTACCACTAAGAAAGAGCTCCGATTGACCTTATCTGAAATCCGCTACATAACAACTGACATCGAACCGGTGCCGTACGACGTAATTATGCTCATTGGACTCCACAGTATATGGAGTACAATGACAGTACGGCACTCAGACGTAAATGCTTGTACAGTCAAGGAGTATTTCATTGAAAGCATCAAGAGTTTGCGAGAATGCTACAAAAAGATCAACAACGAGACCGAGTGTTCGCTGATTGTCGATGAGTTGGTAACATTAAGACCCTTTTAACCCCCCCCCCCCCTCCCTCCTCCCCCATTCCCCCTGTTGCATAGCTATATCAGCCAAAACACTGGCTGGTTGATTTTAAAGTTGTGGTTGTCTATTGAGTGTACCACGTGTTTCTTATGCCACGTGGTTCCAGCTCTTTGCACTGTTTGTTACCGTCTGGCACTAAAACAAAATCCATGCTTGTGGCGCCATGCAAAAGACGTCAAACGGCGAATCGCATGGTCCGGAGTTGGATTGCTGTTCATTTCCTTCGTGAATCTCTCATGTTTCTACTAATTGTACCTAGTTATGATTATGCGTTACTTAACGTCTTCTGTATATTTTGGAAACTTATGCATTGCCTGCTACGGACTATGGAGGCTTGCCTTGGCCTGACGCTTTTTCGTCCTACTCGAGCGTTACACTTTTCGCATTCAATCCATAAGCACATTCTGTGTTAAAATCCCGCATCGGGCGCCCCAGGCGCCATAAGCCGCTGGGGCGAGATCGCCCAATTCATCAACGGATGGGGCTGGCAGTATTGGCAAACACTCCCTCTTCGCACTGTGAGCTTCAACTGCATACATATGCTTGTCGGGCCGAAGGTTAGTGCTGATGTAACATTTGGAGAGTCGCACGCTTATTATTGTTTTTATTTTCGTTCAGGATTACAAATAATAGTTTTGTTAGCAGCGGATGCGCGGCTTCTTAATTATACCAACACATGAATTCGCGGCGGTTCGATCCAGTCTCACTCCTAGTGGTTTATCGAACCGGGGGACGCCCCAGCGGGATTTTTATCCTTCCGGCCGGCGTTCCGTTAAGCTACATAGTGCAAAAGACTGTACAAGCTCTGAAATGCACAAATATACAGAAATGTGTTTTATGCACATGGAAAAGAGAACACGTGCTCTTGAAGGACTGAATATTCACAAGTGGTCTACCAATAAATGGAAAACATGAAGAAGGGGCGATCTCTATACGCGCTGACCAGGAAGTCAAGCCAGCACCGTCATTGCATGAGATAAATGGGAAACTACATCACGTTATTGCGTTTAACTGATATATGTATATACTATAATAAAGCACGACTGCCAGCCCCTTTTCCTCTAAAACAAAAACCAGAACAGCTGCAATCAGCGATCGCAAGATGCTGCTGTATCCGCGCTGCCCAACGACGCAACGAATGGGTACGGCGGTCGATTGCTACAGACAATTCCATTTATCCCCACTAGAGGGTGTTGAATGGCGCATTGAGCAAACAGGTATGAAGCGACCGGAAGTAAGCGACTTGTCCCGGAAGTGAGCGCTTGGCAGGCTTTGTAACCCTTCCGAGTGCTGGTTCAAAAAGCGTCGAGGGCGCAGGACAAGAGAGCCTGCTTGTTGCGCAATAAGGGCGCATGCGGACCCGAGAAGTACCATGGGAAGCCATTCAATGTAAACATTTTGAGATTTTAGTTGATCAAGTGTGCATATGTCCCAAATTCAGATGCCTCATTTTCGGAATTCAATTCGGAGCATGATTAATAAAACCCACTCAAAGACACCGGAAAGTACGGACCAAAACATCCACTGAATGCATTAGAAAGCCCAGCAGACGCCCGACTTCCGGGACAAGCATCAACGTTCCGGTGGCTTCACTTGCGCCCTGCTTGGGGAGCAGCTGTGCGCCATCCAGCCCCCTATATAAGAAATCAGTGGACCAATCATGAATCAAGAAGAGTTGGCCTCCAACACCCTATAACGAAACTATGATGCGCAAAATGTGTGCGGCCGATTCCGGGTGGAGCAGGAATATTAACATCAAGCTTAAAGTATCAAATTCCATGTGAAGCTATTAGATTCAAGCCATTATTTTAACGCGACAGCGTTATCGAGCTCGTGTCGCAGAAAAGCCGGCGTCGGCGTCAGCGGCGTTGTGACCGGAAAATCCTGATTGTTCGATAGGGTCATGACGTCAGAGCCACATGACCTCGCGCGGGAGTTTCAAACAACCCACAACGCTCACGTGAAACGTGACGTCACACGTGGAATGAAAGGGATTCCAAAACATGACATATAATACGAATGAAATGTCGCCGCATGTCTCAAATGATTTCACTTTATAGAGTAATAATTTTCCTTAAAGAAAAATTTGAAGAATCTTAGGCGGGATTCGAACCCAGGCTGCTGACTTGGCCACGCAAGGCACGCTTGCACGGCATGGAAACTTGCGGGAGTTAATATGTTTATGTGTTTCGCTCTCGCGTTCCACTCTTAAAAGAGTAGCTGTGTTAAGCGTCTTCCTGTAAATTGTATAACCTTTTTTTAAGGACGTCTTTTTATTAGACGAGGAGGGTGTTTTGCCTCATGGACTGTTGCCATGCGAGCACAAACTGAGAGAGACAAGTAGACGAGTGCGCGTGCGGGGGGACGTCAAAACATCAAACTCTGGTTGGAATGATTAGTGACTAGACCCAAAGCTAGCTCAATATGTCTCCTCTTCACTCGTCCAACGTGTTCGAACGCCAAGCGCCGGACTCCTGCGATCCGTGTTCTAACGCGTTCGGCGAGTGCAGCAGAGACAACGACAGTTAGATTTGCATCTACGGACTAATTAATCATTTAAACCGGAGCTCGGCGTTCTGACCACCCCGCGCGCACTCGTCTTGTCGCCTCCCTCAATGTTTGGCCGCATTGCCCCGCGTACTTGGCGATGACTACGTGCTGACTGCCCTCACGTCGGCCGCCTCTACTGCACGATCCCCCGATCGTTGGCGCATCGCCTTATACCACTCCACGAAAGAAACCATTGGTCATTGCATGGTGCAGGTTGCGCGACAACCCTTTAGGTATTTACTGGTCTATTCGCGCATTACGGAAGTCGCGCTGCCGCGGTCACTTTCCGAAGTATGCGCCGTCTAGTAGCTGCTGCCAGAATTCTACATTGTATGGGCAAGTACTCCGAGCATGTACTGGAAGCTGCATCGGCGTTCGGAGTTATCAAACAGGTACACAGTCAACCTTCGCTTTGATAACAAGTAATTTAGTTATAGCAAAAAGTAACTTGGCTAAAAATGTTATACACATATGATTATACGCGTATCTTCGTTGCCAAATTCATTTTGTTAACAAAATGGCGGCTCAGGTCTGACAGTGACAAAATAATTTTGAATATATTTCAAACGGAAACAGCCAAAATGCGAACAATGGCGCTTAAAGGCTCATCAAACCCGCTATCTCGCGGATAATTTGTTACCTCGTGCGCACCAGTATTAGCGTTAGAACTAAGACACTGGCAATGGCGTTGTCTTTTTACTTGAGAGTACGTGAGGTTGTGGTACGGTCTCGTAAAAGTGGCGGTAAGTTCGTGTATGACAAAACGAATATACTGGCTGATGCAATCTCCACCTTAGACGGAAACTCGGTCCGTCTGTATTTGTCTGTCCTTATACGTCGCGTCCCTTTTCTTTTAAGTCTCCTCTATATATTTTGTCCTTATACGTTGGGTGGTACACGAAGGAGAGGACTTTATTTTTAAGTTTTGTTTAAATATCTCCACTTAGAATTCAGTAATTCTGTCCTTCCCTTTCTTCTCTTTCTTTGCCGGTTTGCGTTTCTGTGTGATTGTGCTCGCACGCTTACTTTTATTGTTTTCCCCGCTTTCGCATTTTGATTTTCTTTCAATAAGGCACCACGTAACTGAGCAACGAAGTGGAGGGAAAGACTGAAAGATCGGCGGTCCGATTTGCTCAGTAGAGCGCCGCTGTTTGCTCGTGTTCAACCTGGTGTAAATTTTGTCTTGCTCCATTATTCCTTCTTATTGAAGTTTAAAATAATGCGAATGGGAAGCATTAAATGAAAAACAAAAAGATTTGATTCGTATAATCAAGTCGGTATGATTTAAATCACGTCTTTAATGTTAATTTAAATCGTGATATAAATTATCTAGATTTTTACTCCTCATCCTGGTGCTAACGTAAGCTTATTCAACGGCCGACAGATAATGCAGAAAACATTTCACTGTTAGAGTCAATTGAAAAGAACGAGGACGCTTGAAAAAATAAAAAAATAGGAGTGTGCGAACAGGGGTTTGAAGCGAATAGCGCAGTATCATCCCTGGCTTGAACAATATTAAAATAACTTGTTGTAGTCGCGTTCTCTTGAGCTCTGAAAGCTATCAATGGTGCAGCGATATTCGACTCGATTAACTATTCGCACATCGCTATAACATTTGTTGAAAGTTATTTCAACTTTGCCATATTTGGATCATCTTTTAATTTCTTTATTTTTATTGTAGGGTAAGTGCACCTATTTAGCTACCAGGTGGTCCTAAGGTCCCTTTACTTTAGACGCTGTCTTTTACAAGTACGGACAACCAACATGCATGACGAAGCACATTTTACTGAAAAGTAAGGGCGTTTGCCAGTTAATGCTTATGCAGTCATTTTTTCCTACAACCTGCACCGTTTGTTGGCGTCGTCAGTCGGTGCCGGAAATCATGTCAGGAGTTCTAAGGGGCACGAAGTAATCTTTATATCGATTAACTTCGAGTGCCCTTTTGCTGAGATAATCACAGGGGCGTTGTCCCCAACCTAAGTCGTTCCGTGTGACAAAAAAGCAAGGATAATTGTTTTATGTTATTAATCAAGCTGCACGTAAATTGGATTGCATAATTACGCCTCCTGGGGAGTTCAGTGATACGATTCGCTGCCCTGGAAGAGGTGCCAGCTTTCGAAACTGCCATCCCGTAGTGGCGGTCTGGAGCACGTCACGGCGTCCACTTAAGGATGTCCTCCACGTCTTTCGTCCGTCGCAGGCAGGACTGGGCTCTCGCACTAATCCCTACCTACACGTTACAGCTGACTCGGAGGAGATCGAAGTGTCCTCGAGACTCCGCGGATTCGAAATTCTCGACAGACAGCGCTTTTTGTTTGCTCCGGTCTTCCCAGCTCTCTTTACACCAAAAAGCACAGTTCTCACCACGCACAAAGTCAGAGCAGAATGGTATTTTCCTTTTTTTTTTTTTTTTCACTTCTCAAGACGAAGAAGTGCTCCAGTGTCTCATATTTCACTATATTTTCGACGGAATATGTGTCGCCTTTGCGCGTGACTTATACAGAAACGCTTGCTTTTGTGAGAACCATTGAGAAAAAAAAAAAAAAAAAAGTGTTTAGACGAAAGTTTTTTTTTTTTTTTTTTTCATCATTTCTGGTAAACATTATTAAGGCGAAAGCCTTATATGTCTCATCGTTCAGTCGACCTTCAAAGTCCTTGAGCGAAAACACGTCGGCGACACGGAAGGTACCAAAACGTTTGTGACCACTCGGGTGAATTGGAGGCAATGAAATGAAGCAGGATGACAAAGCGAATTAAGAGGAATCAAAGTGAATTAAGAGAAATTAAAGAGAAGTAAGAGTAATCAATGGGAATTAAGAAAGACTATCAAGCGAATTAAGAGGAAAAAAGTGAATTAAGAGGAATTAAAGCAAATTAAGTTGATGACTAAGCCAATTAATTGGACGACTAAGCAAATTAAAATGGTGACTCACACATTGCGAAGGATGACTGCGCACATTGAGAAGGATGACTCCGCACATTCAGAATGATGACTCCGCACATTGAG